GTTTCTGTGGGGTTGACACCCCAGACTAGCAGCCAACAAGGAAGGGTTCCTGCGACTCCAGGCCTGTCCAGCACCTGGGGGCCGCCTCAGGCCGTGGGAGACCAGCTAGCCTGCTCTGAGGAGCACTCTTAGACCCTTCCCCATGCCTGCCCCACTCTGTCCGGCCACCCTTCACCACGCCCCCTCCCCGCCTTCTCCCCTTAGCCTATAGTTCCTGGTATAACTGTTGCTCTGCTTGTTGGTGAATATCTCTAGCCTGGGGCTGTGCTCCAGGACTGCTGTGCATGCCAATGGTGGCAGATCTGGGTGATGAGAGACAGAGCCCCCAGCCTGTGCTGTGGGAAGAGGGATAGCAGCGTAGAGACCTGCGGCAAGGCCCGGGAAGAAGGCCTGCGGCTTGGGGACGCGCCTCCTCGGGAACCCAGGAGCTGAGCCAGCGGCGTGGCCTTAGGGCAGACTCTGGGAGAGCAGGGGGTCCTGATGGAAGGCAGGGTGGTATTGCTGGCTGGAGCGCATGCTGCCTCCCGCTGCCCGTGGGAGCAGGCTATGAAGAGGCCCAGATTTGCTTCCACATCACAGGCTAGTGTAAGGCTTGTTGGTAGACGGTGTGGTGTGAAGGACCTGAGCAGCTGGGTGGCAGACACTACCCAGACCGCGATGGACAGCCTCGGAAGGCAGGAGTGTCCTGCTGCCCACAGAGCCCCTTTTGACAAGCACTTTAGTCTGTCTGCTCTGGTAGCCGCACAGCTGTGGGAGACGTGTCCCTGTGGTCTGAGACAAGGCCTGGGGTTCTGGGGGTCACCATGCCTGCCAAGGACAGCAGAGGACAAACTGGGAGCTTGCTCACCCCACAGCTAAGGGGACTGTGGCTCTTGAGCTGCAGCTGGAGAAAGGTGGGTTCTTCAAGACCACATCCTTAGTCCCCAGCACCCAGGCCAGCGCCACAGGAGAGCCACACACACCCAGACGCCCAGAGCTGTGTGCTTCCCCCTTCTCCCTCTGATGCTGAAAGGCACTGGCCTGTGCTACTGATTGCTACTGACAGCACAGAGCCGGAAGCACCGGGGCAGGCGCTGACCCACTTTCTCCTCCCTGGGCTGGAAACATTTATGTAACAAACAGCCACAGGGCCCTGCTGTCCTCCTGGCATGGCGAGGCCTTTAATTATAAAGGAGGCACCCAGCGCCAGACTGGCCACAGTGTGGCTGTTCATGGGGCGACAAACCAGTCTTAGCAGAGCAGTGAGAAGAGCTTTTCCAGAATTATCTGTGCAGACCCATATTTGATGCCACATCAATCTCATGGGCCAGACCCCATTCTCCTTCCAAGACCCTTCTCCCTGACACCCTCTGGAGGCTCAGCCTAGTGCTGCCGGCAGAACTTTCTAGTCCCTGCCTATGCTTTTCCACAGGGCAGGCCACAGCCACATGGAGCTGGTTAGCACGTAAAATAGAACCAGTGAAGAGTCGTGAACTGTTTCCTTCCAGGGCAGCAGGAAATGGCTCTTCTTCTTTTCTGTTGCTCCACTTGGACCTTACTATACTAAAGTTAACCTTGTTCAACTAAATACTAAAAGTTAAAAACAAAAAACCCGCAGCCAGTGAGTTTCTTATTTTAAATGTCAGTAGACAGATGTTGCTGGTATTGTACCAAAAAGACACAGAGCATTAATGGCAAGATTGGGTGTTAAAACTCTGTGCTGTGTAGAATCCTTATTAGGTGCTGTGTGAAAGTTTTGCTCATTGTGAGTGATGCTCGACACTAACAGTGTAGTCTGCTGATGAAGCATCTGTGAAGCCATTGCGTTTTGTCAATGTGTGGTGGTCCCGAGGCCTCCAGAGGCCTCCCCACACACCCCTCACAGCAACCGGGATATGCTGCTCTGTGCTTGATTTTGCATTTTCCCTTTTTGTGTATTTTTAGCAGAGATATTTTGTTGAAGAAAAAGAAGTTGTCCCAACTTTTAACCCATCGTCCTTCCTGGTGTGTTGTAGCTTGAGTGACCCTCTATCCAGGCTAAACCGAGGGTGTGTGTGGATGGGTGATGTCACATCACAGGACCGTTCCTGAGTGTGTGCGTAATGCTTGCCCACAGGCAAGTCTAACTGTGGGACTGTGTAGGAGGAACTTTCAGGGGAATCCTCGGCTCGTCCCAGAACACTATACTTCTTCCCTCCATCTTCCCAGTGACCCTACTCATCTCGCAGGTATGCTCCTAGATGAGCATGCAAGGCATGTCAGCTTCTTCGCCCCATGGGTCTCTAGGAACCCCATCCGGGGCCAGACATCTGCCCCACCCTACACCAGTGGCTCTCTCCCCACGCAGCCCGCTACCCCTGGAACCTGACCAGCTGGGCTCCAGGGCCCAGCGTCTCTTCCACGCTCATGCCCCATCCTCTGCCCCGTCCAGTTTCCCCTCTTTCCTGCTGTGGAAGCTTGCAGCCCCAAACCAGCACCACACACTGGCCGCTCAGGCCTCTCACCTTCCAGAGAGCTACCAAGCCCACACTGCCCCCAGACTCCTGGACCAGGGTCTCCCCGTCTTCTCCCAAGTCTGGCAGCCCTGGGACATCTCCCAGGCGTGAGCACCTCTCGCCCTCTGCGTCTAGATGCCTTGTAAGTGCCACTTCCTCCTCTGCCCACTCTCCCTGGTCTTCTCTGCCCATCCTCTCCACCCTTCCTGCAGCCTGAACTGGGGTATGGCCAGACAGTGGGTTGGCACCGTTCTGGTTGAGCTATCCTCACTCCTACAAGCTGTTCCCTGAGAGGGCACAGTTGGTGTCCATGGGAATCTCAGTGCTGGGGTCCAGCAGTACCGGTCACTCAGCGCTGGGGTCCAGCAGTACCGGTCACTCAGCGCTGGGGTCCAGCAGTACCAGTCACTCAGCGCTGGGGTCCAGCAGTACCGGTCACTCAGCACTGGGGTCCAGCAGTACACTCACTCAGCGCTGGGGTCCAGCAGTACCGTCACTCAGCGCTGGGGTCCAGCAGTACCGGTCACTCAGCGCTGGGGTCCAGCAGTACCGTCACTCAGCGCTGGGGTCCAGCAGTACACTCACTCAGCGCTGGGGTCCAGCAGTACACTCACTCAGCGCTGGGGTCCAGCAGTACACTCACTCAGCGCTGGGGTCCAGCAGTACCGGTCACTCACTCAGCGCTGGGGTCCAGCAGTACCGGTCACTCACTCAGCGCTGGGGTCCAGCAGTACACTCACTCAGCGCTGGGGTCCAGCAGTACACTCACTCAGCGCTGGGGTCCAGCAGTACAGTCACTCAGCGCTGGGGTCCAGCAGTACAGTCACTCAGCGCTGGGGTCCAGCAGTACCGTCACTCAGCGCTGGGGTCCAGCAGTACACTCACTCAGCGCTGGGGTACAGCAGTACACTCACTCAGCGCTGGGGTCCAGCAGTACAGTCACTCAGCGCTGGGGTCCAGCAGTACACTCACTCAGCGCTGGGGTCCAGCAGTACACTCACTCAGCGCTGGGGTCCAGCAGTACCGTCACTCAGCGCTGGGGTCCAGCAGTACCGTCACTCAGCGCTGGGGTCCAGCAGTACACTCACTCAGCGCTGGGGTACAGCAGTACCGGTCGCTCAGCGCTGGGGTCCAGCAGTACAGTCACTCAGCGCTGGGGTCCAGCAGTACACTCACTCAGCGCTGGGGTCCAGCAGTACCGGTCACTCACTCAGCGCTGGGGTCCAGCAGTACCGTCACTCACCAGAGAGGGGAGCCATCATCCTGTCACTCTTCCGTGAGCACTTCCCTGTCACTGCCTGTAACCTGTTTTTGTCTTTTTTTTTTTTAATTTTATTTTATTTTATTTGAGAACATACTGTACAGAGGGGTTACAATTACATGGGCAGGATAATGCATACATTTCTTACCCAGCATTGCAGCCTCCTCCTTTGTTTACCCTTCACCTCCCTTCCCAGCCTCCCCCCTCCCCCCACCCAAACCTTCCCCCCCCCCCCCCACATCGACATTGTAAAGCTGGTTTTGACATGACATTTTGTACTTCTCATTGTTGCAACAGGTCCACCTCTGTTTTTGTCTTTAATGACAACACGCAAAGGACACAGATGGCACTGGGACTTTGATTGGGGTAGAGTTTTAACAGTCCAGTAGCGAGTCTAGACTAGGGGAAGAAAGCTTCCAAGGACTGTTGATGTTAGCACAAGAGACACAAGTGGGATCTTCCTGGCTGGTGAGGACAAAGCCAGTTCCACAGGAAACTGAAGCCCTGTGACAGAAAAAGGGGAGCACTGGCACCAAGAGAAAAGCCAGGCTTCCAGGCCGAGGGAGCGGGCTCTGGTGCCCCTTGGCCCTCCGTATAGAGGAGGACACGCAGGTCAGAGGGCTTGCCTGCCCTGCCCCAAGTCATGTGGCTGATCAGCCTCAGAACCGTGGGAGGCTGGGACCCAGCCCTGTGGGCTTACCCCTACTCTCTCCTCCCCCGCCCCTGCACAGTGGGTGTTCCCCAGGTGACACCTTCCGTCTGTGGCAGTGACAGCAGTGTGTCCTCTCCACCGCAGGCCAGAAGGGACTTTCAGGACCACAGACATCCAGTGGCCATGGATGTTCCTCAGTGGCCACAGGCGTCCCCCGCCATTGCCACGAACATCTCCCAGTGGTCACGGACATCCTCAGTGGCCACGAACATCTCCCAGTGGCCACGAACATCTCCCAGTGCTCACGGACCTCCCCAGTGCTCACGGACATCCCCAGTGCTCACGGACATCCCCAGTGCTCACGGACATCCCCAGTGCTCACGGACATCCCCAGTGCTCACGGACATCCCCAGTGCTCACGGACCTCCCCAGTGCTCACGGACATCCCCAGTGCTCACAGACATCCCCAGTGCTCACAGACATCCCCAGTGCTCACGGACCTCCCCAGTGCTCACGGACCTCCCCAGTGCTCACGGACATCCCCAGTGCTCACGGACATCCCCCGAAGCCATGGACGTCCCCTGGGGCTCACAGCTGTGCTTTCTCGTTCCAGGAGACGCCATCTGGGTTCCATCCGTCCTTCCTCACAGTACCCTCGGCACCTTAAACCACCACCCTCAGCTGCATTTTGGGAGAAAGATGGAGTCGAAGGTCTCAGAAGGTGGACTCAATGTCACCCTTACCATCCGTCTGTTGATGCATGGAAAGGTAGATGCACACCCACAGCGGGGCCTGTACTGTCTGAGGGGACTGAGCTGTGGGGGGACTGGAAAGGCAGATGCACACCCACGGCAGGGACTGGGTTATCTAGGGGGGACTGTGTTGTCTGAGGGGACTGGACTGTCTGAGGGACTTGGATGACTGAGGGGACTGGACTGAGGGACTGGACTGTCTGAAGGACTGGACTGTCTGAGGGACTGGACTGTCTGAGGGACTGGACTGTCTGAGGGGACTGGGCTGTCTGGGGGGACTGGGCTGTCTGGGGGGACTGGACTGTCTGAGGGACTGGACGGTCTGGGGGGACTGGACTGTCTGAGGGGACTGGACTGTCTGAAGGACTGGACTGTCTGAGGGACTGGACTGTCTGAGGGGACTGGACTGTCTGAGGGACTTGGATGTCTGAGGGACTTGGATGTCTGAGGGGACTGGACTGAGGGACTGGACTGTCTGAAGGACTGGACTGTCTGAGGGACTGGGCTGTCTGGGGGCACTGGGCTGTCTGGGGGGACTGGACTGTCTGAGGGACTGGACGGTCTGGGGGGACTGGACTGTCTGAGGGGACTGGACTGAGGGACTAGACTGAAGGACTGGACTGTCTGAGGACTGGACTGTCTGAGGGGACTGGACTGTCTGAGGGACTGGACTGTCTGAGGGGACTGGGCTGTCTGGGGGGACTGGACTGAGGGACTGGACTGTCTGAAGGACTGGACTGTCTGAGGGACTGGACTGTCTGAGGGGACTGGACTGTCTGAGGGACTTGGATGTCTGAGGGGACTGGACTGAGGGACTGGACTGTCTGAAGGACTGGACTGTCTGAGGGACTGGACTGTCTGAGGGGACTGGACTGTCTGAGGGACTTGGATGTCTGAGGGGACTGGACTGAGGGACTGGACTGTCTGAAGGACTGGACTGTCTGAGGGACTGGGCTGTCTGGGGGCACTGGGCTGTCTGGGGGGACTGGACTGTCTGAGGGACTGGACGGTCTGGGGGGACTGGACTGTCTGAGGGGACTGGACTGAGGGACTAGACTGAAGGACTGGACTGTCTGAGGACTGGACTGTCTGAGGGGACTGGACTGTCTGAGGGACTGGACTGTCTGAGGGGACTGGGCTGTCTGGGGGGACTGGACTGAGGGACTGGACTGTCTGAAGGACTGGACTGTCTGAGGGACTGGACTGTCTGAGGGGACTGGACTGTCTGAGGGACTTGGATGTCTGAGGGGACTGGACTGAGGGACTGGACTGTCTGAAGGACTGGACTGTCTGAGGGACTGGACTGTCTGAGGGGACTGGACTGTCTGAGGGACTTGGATGTCTGAGGGGACTGGACTGAGGGACTGGACTGTCTGAGGGACTGGACTGTCTGAGGGACTGGACTGTCTGAGGGGACTGGGCTGTCTGGGGGCACTGGGCTGTCTGGGGGGACTGGACTGTCTGAGGGACTGGACGGTCTGGGGGGACTGGACTGTCTGAGGGGACTGGACTGAGGGACTAGACTGAAGGACTGGACTGTCTGAGGGACTGGACTGTCTGAGGGGACTGGACTGTCTGAGGGACTGGACTGTCTGAGGGGACTGGGCTGTCTGGGGGGACTGGACTGAGGGACTGGACTGTCTGAAGGACTGGACTGTCTGAGGGACTGGACTGTCTGAGGGGACTGGACTGTCTGAGGGACTTGGATGTCTGAGGGGACTGGACTGAGGGACTGGACTGTCTGAAGGACTGGACTGTCTGAGGGACTGGACTGTCTGAGGGACTGGACTGTCTGAGGGGACTGGACTGTCTGAGGGACTTGGATGTCTGAGGGGACTGGACTGAGGGACTGGACTGTCTGAAGGACTGGACTGTCTGAGGGACTGGACTGTCTGAGGGACTGGACTGTCTGAGGGGACTGGGCTGTCTGGGGGCACTGGGCTGTCTGGGGGGACTGGACTGTCTGAGGGACTGGACGGTCTGGGGGGACTGGACTGTCTGAGGGGACTGGACTGAGGGACTAGACTGAAGGACTGGACTGTCTGAGGGACTGGACTGTCTGAGGGGACTGGACTGTCTGAGGGACTGGACTGTCTGAGGGGACTGGGCTGTCTGGGGGGACTGGACTGAGGGACTGGACTGTCTGAGGGGACTGGGCTGTCTGGGGGGACTGGACTGAGGGACTGGACTGTCTGAAGGACTGGACTGTCTGAGGGACTGGACTGTCTGAGGGGACTGGACTGTCTGAGGGACTTGGATGTCTGAGGGGACTGGACTGAGGGACTGGACTGTCTGAAGGACTGGACTGTCTGAGGGACTGGACTGTCTGAGGGGACTGGACTGTCTGAGGGACTGGACTGTCTGAGGGGACTGGGCTGTCTGGGGGGACTGGGCTGTCTGAGGGACTGGACTGTCTGAGGGACTGGACTATCTGAGGGACTGGACTGTCTGAGGGACTGGACTGTCTGAGGGGACTGGACTGTCTGAGGGACTGGACTGTCTGAGTGGACTGGACTGTCTGAGGGGACTGGACTGTCTGAGGGGACTGGGCTGTCTGGGGGGACTGGGCTGTCTGAGGGACTGGACTGTCTGAGGGACTGGACTGTCTGAGGGACTGGACGGTCTGGGGGGACTGGACTATCTGAGGGACTGGATTGTCTGAGGGACTGGACTATCTGAGGGACTGGACTGTCTGAGGGACTGGACTGTCTGAGGGACTGGACTGTCTGAGGGGACTGGACTGTCTGAGGGACTGGACGGCATGAGGGGACTGGACTGTCTGGGGGGACTGGACTGTCTGAGGGGACTGGACTAAGGGACTGGACTGTCTGAAGGACTGGACTGTCTGAGGGGACTGGACTGTCTGAGGGACTTGGATGTCTGAGGGGACTGGACTGAGGGACTGGACTGTCTGAGGGGACTGGGCTGTCTGGGGGCACTGGGCTGTCTGGGGGGACTGGACTGTCTGAGGGACTGGACGGTCTGGGGGGACTGGACTGTCTGAGGGGACTGGACTGAGGGACTAGACTGAAGGACTGGACTGTCTGAGGGACTGGACTGTCTGAGGGACTGGACTGTCTGAGGACTGGACTGTCTGAGGGGACTGGACTGTCTGAGGGGACTGGGCTGTCTGAAGGACTGGATGGTCTGGGAGGACTGGACTGTCTGAGGGACTGGATGGTCTGGGAGGACTGGACTGTCTGAGGGACTGGATGGTCTGGGGGGACTGGACTGTCTGAGGGGACTGGACTGTCTGAAGGACTGGATGGTTTGGGGGGACTGGACTGTCTGAGGGGACTGGACTGTCTGAGGGACTGGATGGTCTGGGGGGACTGGACTGTCTGAGGGGACTGGGCTGTCTGAGGGACTGGATGGTCTGGGGGCCACTGGACTGTCTGAGGACTGGACTGTCTGAGGGGACTGGACTGTCTGAGGGACTGGATGGTCTGGGGGGACTGGGCTGTCTGAGGGACTGGATGGTCTGGGGGGACTGGACTGTCTGAGGGACTGGAAGGTCTGGGGGGACTGGGCTGTCTGAGGGACTGGATGGTCTGGGGGAACTGGACTGTCTGAGGGACTGGATGGTCTGGGGGGACTGGGTTGTCTGAGGGACTGGATGGTCTGGGGGGACTGGGCTGTCTGAGGGACTGGATGGTCTGGGGGGACTGGGCTGTGAGGGACTGGATGGTCTGGGGGGACTGGGCTGTCTGAGGACTGGATGGTCTGGGAGGACTGGGCTGCCTTAGGGTATTGGACTGTCTGAGGGACTGGATGGTCTGGGGGGACTGGGCTGTCTAAAGGGACTGGACTGGGGGGACTGGGCTGTCTGGGGGAACTGGGCTGTCTGAGGGGACTGGACTGCGGGAACTAGAGTTCTTGCCTAGCAACCATAAGGACTTGAATGCAAACTTGAGTACTGACAGAAACCTTTACTTCAAACTTACACAGCCATTGCAAGTACACACAAATGACAGTTCCCTGGAACCACATGATTGAGCAGCCAACCTCCTGCCTGTCCCTGAGCACTAGTGTACATCTCCTACATAGATGGCACACTGTCCCTGAGCACTAGTGTACATCTCCTACATAGATGGCACACTGTCCCTGAGCACTAGTGTACATCTACATAGATTGCACACTGTCCCTGAGCACTAATGTACATCTACATAGATGGCACACTCCTGTCCCTGAGCAGTAGTGTACGTGTCTTACAGACTGCCTAGTGGGGCCTCATCCTGGTGCCTGCTCCCTCTGGGCCTGAGAAACACGGCCCCCACAGTTCCCACAAAGCCCCTGCTGGGGAATCCAGCCTAGAACAGCCATGCTGCCACCCACCCCAGAGCACAGGTCCTCCTGCAGAGGTGCACATCCAGACCCCTTGGAGGAACGCCAGCCCCTGGTGTGCTGTGCTTCCTGAGCTCCTCACCTCCTGTGCACAGCCCTGCAGCGGTGCAGGCTTGCTAAGAGCATGGCTGTGTTGAGGGAAAACGGCAAATTTAAAAGGCACGGAGCTGGACGGCTGGGGGCGAGACTAGTCCTGTCTCAAGTGATGCGTGGAGCTGGCCCTGATGTGGGCTGACCAGCAGGCAGGGAGGTGCTGTCCCCACTGACCCTGCCAGAGTGCCCACCCTGCAGACACCTGGGCATGGCTGTGGACACTAGGAATGTCCACGCGAAACAAGCCACAGCAAAGGCAGTGTGGCTCCTGGTGGGTCTCAGCAGGGAGGGGTGTTTATCTCAGATTTCCTTGTGGTGTCTGTCTGAAAAGCAGCTGGCTGCCTGTGTCCTATCCTCCAGCACTTTGTCAGGCAGCCTTAGCCCGATGGCACGGAGGAAACATACAAGCCAGCCTGAAATGAACCCCCTCTCCTCCCCTTCCCCTTCCCCCGCCCTCTTCTTCCCCCTCTCCCTCCCCTTCACCTTCTCCCTCTCCTCTTGCAGTAATGGGGTTTGAACTCAGGGTCTAATGCTTGCTAGTTTGGTGTTCTACCATTTGTGCCACACTCCTATTCCATTTGTGCTTTATTTTTCAGATAGGGTCTCAGGTTTTGTGTCCAAGGCCAGCCTAAAGACAATGAATTCTTGCCTGTTCTTCCTGCATAGCTGAGATTAGAAACATACCCTCATGCCTGGATTATTGGCTGAGATGGGGTTTTATAACTCAAACCACAATTCTCCCAATCTCTCCCTCCTGAGTCACTGAGATTAGAAGTATGCATCACCTGTTAGTGGTGCCCAATTCCCCTTGGGCCTGGGTGGACTGTCTAGCATGCCTGTAGTTCTGGTTCCATCTGGCACCACAAAAGATAAATATTCCTCTCATGTTAAGAAGGTAGATGGCAGCATCTGACCCCAAACTGTGTTTTCTTCTGCTTTATGACATTCTCTTTCTGTGGCTTTGTTTCCCCACAGGAAGTTGGAAGCATCATTGGGAAGGTAATTATTACCTGTGCTCCGCTCCTCTTGGGATCTCTGAGGGGATGGCCCCTGCTTCTGGGTGTCCCTGGCAGGAGTGCTGCCCAGAAGCCCATTAACAACCCCTCCTGCTTCCAGATGCACTACCTTGAAGCAGACTCCCAGCTGTATGTGAGCCTTGGGGGCAGACATTTCCCTTGAGCCACCTCAACAGCCACCACTGCCCGCCACATTGGTGGTCTGTAGGGCTTGGAGGCTTGTGACCCTAGAAAGTTACTTTGCTTGTACTATGCAGCAGCCCTCATCGGAACAATCTCCCTAACAATAGTACAGCCATCTTATATCTCCATTCTAAGCGGGGCTGAAGGCCACGAGGGAGCCTCCCTCAGGCAAGGGAGTTGGTGCAGAGGTCCAGGCACACCGACCCTGCGTGCTACCTTGGCCCCTTCTCTGCATGGTATGCAGAGTACCGAGGAGCCTCACGGCCCATCACCCCAGCCCTTTCTTGCCCTTTGTCTTTAGAGACCGTGCGCAGCCCTGCTCGGCCTCCCCGGGCCCCCTTGTGATGCTGTGGCAGGAGCCTGCCTGGCTGGCCAGCAGGCACCCACCTTCCCAGAACTCATGTTTCTCATCGTAAAGTCTTGGGGATGTGGGAGATGAGGCCTCACTCATAGTGCAGGCAGGGCTGGACACTCACCGGGGACAGGCTGGGGTGGACAGGGCCCATCACCTGGCTGCACTGTCCACCAAGCCCGCAGAACAGCAGCAATTCCCAGCACCACGCCATGCCAGGCCATGCGCCCTCTGTCGAGCCGTCAGTGACTCTTCTCATCTGCGTCTCCATTCCAGAAAGGGGAGACAGTGAAGAAGATGCGTGAGGAGGTGCGTGTGACTTGCTGTGGACACCATCCCACCTACGCCAGGATGCCAAGGCCAGGAGGGTCTCGGGGCCCGGCGCGTGTCCATCTGGGCAGGGACGGCAGGGCCTTGCCCAAATGGGCGGGAGTGGTGTTCCCCCTGACTACAGCATGTGCACGGGGTGCAGACTACCCTGGGGAGCACTCAGACTCCTGCTAATCAAAATTCCACGCAAGGGGACTGTGGAAAAGAATTCTACTTGCCTATGTCTGCAGTGGGTCCTGTCTGGAGAGCTGGGCCTGTACTGTCTGGAGTCTGTTATTTGTTGCCAGACACATTTACTTCCTCTCACCCTAGAGTGGAGCCAGGATCAACATCTCAGAGGGAAACTGCCCAGAGAGAATTGTGACCATCACAGGGCCAACGGATGCCATCTTCAAGGCCTTCGCCATGATCGCATACAAGTTTGAGGAGGTGAGATCCCTCAGCTGGTTCCCTTACTCCCCTCTGCCAGGACAAGGTGGCAGTTCTGGCCCTCACAGGACACTGCTGGCCAGGGAGGCACCCTCCTGTGCTCCTGCCCACCTTCCTCCTCCTAAGACCAGCCGCGCCTGATGTGTGCATGTGGGAGAAGTCCATTTCCCACGTGCTTCCTCAGACGATGCGCCAGACCTAGCCTCAGGACATCCCCCCACCAGGCCCTGGCTGCCCAGATTCGAGCCCTGCCCGTGCCCCAGCACCCACTAGCTCTCCCACATTACCACAGCTTGCATTCATCCCCTCCACTGCTGCCTGCAGGTTATTGAGTTACATGGGAATCCCTGGTCCACAGACTGTAAGAGGAAAGGCAAGCCGTCAGGCTGAGGCTGACGGCAGTCTGCTGCCCCCGTCAGATGTGAGTGGAAGCACTCTATTCCCTACTGTCCCAGCTGACAAAATCAGACACACCAGGTACAGCCGCTCACACCTATAATCCCAGCTACTGGGGAAGAAGGACAGAGACCAGGAAGGATTGTGGTTTGAAGCAGGCCTAAGCTCAAAATAACCTATTTCACTAAACAAAGTAGCTGAGATCTCAACTGTGGGAGGCATAGGTAGGAAGATCCCAGTCACGTACTGGCCCTGGGCAGGCACCACAGGACCACCTAGAAATAATTATCTAATTGGAGGTGCTCCAATGGCAGAGCCCTTGCCAGCAAACACCATACCCCCAAAAAGGGCAGGGGGTGGGAATGATGTGTTGGCCAGCATCCTGTCACTGTAACAAATAGAGTAACAAATAGAAATAACTTATTTGTCAATCAATTGGCAAATAATTTATATAGGAAAAGGTTTGGTTTGGCTCAGTTTCCGCAGTTCAGTCTACAGCTGGGCAGAATCGTTGTTTTCACACCTCTGCTGGGGCTGGGCTGCACACATGGGGTGAGCTTGTTGGCATGCAGAACCATTCTCCTTGTGCCTGTGATCCGCTTTGGCCTGGAATCTCCCCTGTGCTCCACATCCGGTTTTTACCCCTCCCAAGAGTACCAAGCCAGGGGCCGAACCTGTAACACACGAGGCTCAGAGGATACTCCAGAGGAAACTAAGCACTTCACCAGAAGACTTACCTGTGCCAGTATGTGTCCAAAGTTCAAGTCCAGAGCTCCCCTGGAGACTCAAGACAAATTGCTAAAAAGCAGCAAAAATAAAAGTGCAAGCTCTGTGCAGTGACCCATTCTGAAAAAAAGAGACAGGATTGGCATGGAGGGACTGGACCCACGCCAGGCCAGACACAGGGGACCAGCGGGACTTCCTGTGGCTCCGTGTCCTGCTGCCTCGGGATGGCTTGGGCAGCCCCACCTCTAGCTCCACAGCTGCAGCCACATGGCCGCTCTCCTGGGCTGGCTTCCATGCTGCCTGAAGCTTCCGTGTTCCTGACGTCTGGTGAATTCCCCAAGTCACCGTCATGGCATTAGTGTTGTCCTTGGCTTGAGCGGCGCCCCATCAAGCTGCTCACACGGCACCTGGCCCTGTCTCACACTGCCCAGCTTCCCAGGCTTTCCTTCGAAATCTTAGCACACACTTCCATGACTCCACAGTTCTTGCATCCTGCCTGCCTTCAAAACGTCAGATGGCAGCAAGACTTGTTAGCAAGGCCCCCTTGGACCAGCTGTAGTGGCCTCTGCGTGGCTCTGAGGCTTACGTAGTCCCAGTGGGTGGGGCATGCTGGTGCCCTCACCCTAAAAGACAACCCTGCGCAGTCTTCAAGACAGACTTTCATTTGTCGGTCTCTCAGTCGGCCACGGGTGAGACCTTCCTGGTTCTGAGAATCATGCATGTATTTTCCTATTCCAGTAGGACCCACCGGGCTCCTCACTGCTCCTAATCCTTCAGCAACTGTACCATCCATGCCATCCCTTCAGACACTCTCCTTTGTGGAAAAATTCCAGGTGTTCAAAATTTTTTAACTAGATTAAACCCAGGGCCTCCCACATGCTAGATAAGCACTGTACCTCGGAGTTAAATCCCTAGCCCATCTTTCTGTGCCTGATTTGCACTGTAAATCAACTACAGACAGCCAGTAATACCCAAGGCAAGGGGCCCCCCGGACCAGGGCAGTGCTGGCGCTGAAGCCTGTCGGGCTTCCCACGTTAGCCAAAGACACTTGAGGTGAAGCAACTTTTAAACAAGAATCTCATTTGGAGACTTCAGATCAATCAAAAATTGGCACCCAATGGACCTGAAGTCTTATTCCCTTTCTTTTTTATAAGGTACCTCTTGGAAAGGCCAGGGTGGCCATTGGAGATCCTAGTCATGCTCGATGGGGAGGACACATTAGAAAGCGGCATGAGGATCAGGACTGAGGTAGGATAGTTCAGGCTGAGATTTCCAGGAAGGGGAGAGTTAGGTGGCCCCTAGGAGCTGGCCAGAGAAATGGGAACGCCATGCTGGCGTACTTCCAACACAGCCACCCCAGCAGGCGGGCCTGTTTGGGTCAAGTACCTGAGAGGAGAACGTCTTCATCAGCCTTCCCTGGAACCCCCAGCCACGCCTGGCCAGGTGGACACCAGTGCAGGAGGACGGCCAGTGCTCCAGGCTCTCAGCACAGACTGTCGTCTATGGTTGACCCCATGACCCTTCTCATGACAGGCAACACTTCAAGTCGCACAGCACAGCACACAGCAGCCATAAAAGCCACCAGCTGGGCAAAGGGCAGAGCATGTGTCCACCATGGATACAAGCAAGCAGGTAGCGCTGCCCCATGACTCCTGACCACGCAGCCTGGCACGTCTGGTGTGTGGCCCGCACGGGGTCCCCCTTCTGTCTGGTCTGCTGGTGTGTCCTCGTGCCTCCGAGCCCAACCTAGCTGTGAGTCGCAGTGACGACCAGGCCCGTCCTCTGCACGCTCTGCCATGGCCTCTGAGTGCCCAGCAATGCAGGTGCAAGCAGGGGCGCCCTGAAACAGGGGTGCCCACCGCCACAGGGCCAGCATGCTTGTCTTTCCTTCCCTAGGACATCATTAACTCCATGAGCAACAGCCCTGCCACCAGCAAGCCCCCGGTGACGCTGAGGCTGGTGGTCCCCGCCAGCCAGTGCGGGTCCCTGATCGGCAAAGGCGGCTCCAAGATCAAGGAGATCAGGGAGGTACCAAGACCTTCCCCGCCCAGGGTGGGAGGAACCGTCCCGGCAGCACGGTGACTAGGCTGCCATGTCACTGTGCTGCCTGCTCCCTGGGGAGTCCATAAGTCCTGGCACGGGGCACCACAGATTCCTGCCCTGAAGCTGATGTGTGACGGGGACAAACAGTCCAGTGGGCAAACAATAGGGAAGCCAACACGGTGGCCTGTGGGGGGGGGCCCTGCTGGGCAGGAGCGGCCACGAGGAGGTGTTCTTGAGATGAGCAGGTTAGAGCTCCCTAGTTCTGCAGCTCAAGGCTGCACCCAGACGCATCCCTGCTCCACGGGGTTGCCCCTCGGCAGGCAGGCCCCCGGGAGGGCACGCTTGACCTCCACAATGCCTGACTTCAGGGGCACCAAGCCCTCCCTTACCCAGAGGACAGCCACTGCCTCATAATTTCCTCCCATCTTCCCCTGTGACCCAGAACTCCACAGAGGAAGCAGAATTCCTGTCTTGGAGGGTGGGGCTTCCTGGCCAGTGTACCCGTGGGTGGGACAGCAATGGCCTGAGGCCTCACAGCTCCCTGAGCAGTGCGCAGAAGCAGGCGTGGAGGAGAGGCGGCACTGGGCGGGCGCAGGGTCGGACCCAGCAAGGCCCCGTTTCAGTGAAGGCTACTGTGTGCAGACTGCCCTGCCCTCATCCTGGATCTCCTGTCCTGTGTACACTGCTACCCGCTCTCTCTTGTCCTCTTCCAATGTCGTTTTCTTCAGTCCACAGGTGCCCAGGTCCAGGTAGCTGGGGACATGCTGCCCAACTCCACAGAGCGGGCAGTGACCATCTCAGGGACGCCGGACGCCATCATCCAGTGTGTCAAGCAGATCTGTGTGGTCATGCTGGAGGTACAGCCACCCAGCAGGCGCCAGCTTGCCTCTCGCTTGGCACTGGGTCCACTGCAAGCCTTGGCCAAGGCTCCAGAGCCTCACCGGTCCCCAGGGTTCACGGGGGTGGTCGTGGCTGAGGGGGGGCGGGGCATCAGGGCCGCCGTGCAGGTCGCAGGCCGGGTGAGCAGGCACTTGGGCAGAGCTGCTGCTGTCAGAGTCAGGCCGGCCTGGGACCACTGTCGGGAGGGAGAGTGAAGGAGGACGGGCTTCTCCTCCGCTAGAGCTCAGCGAGAAGCTCTGTGCTGCCCTGGCACTGGGCCCCCAGCACCTGCCCTAGGCAGGGGCAGTGCAGGCCAAGGGTGCCACCCTCGGCAGCAGAACTCCCTGCTCTGCGGATGGCATGCAAACTAGAACCAAGAACTGCCGCTGAGGTACCAGATGGGACTCGGGACAGACCCGGGAAAATGCCCAGTGTGAAACCAGAGATGAGCAGACAGAGAGAGGAAACAGGCCAGGGAAGCATCATCACACAGGCACGGAGAGTCCAGACCTGCACACTTAATCTAGTCAACACCCAAAGGAAGCAAAATTCAAGCAACATCAGTAGCTGTGTGTGCCCTTCTCCAAAGCCCCTGATGTGATCTGCCTCACATGAGCACCGGTACTGTGCCCTTCTCCAAAGCTCCTGATGTGATCTGCCTCACATGAGCACCGGTACTGTGCCCTTCTCCAAAGCTCCTGATGTGATCTGCCTCACACGAGCACCAGTACTGTGCCCTTCTCCAAAGCCCCTGATGCGCCTGCCTCACGTGAGCACTGTTAGTGCCCTTCTCCAAAGCTCCTGATGTGATCTGCCTCACATGAGCACCGGTACTGTGCCCTTCTCCAAAGCCCCTGATGTGATCTGCCTCACATGAGCACCGGTACTGTGCCCTTCTCCAAAGCCCCTGATGTGATCTGCCTCACATGAGCACCGGTACTGTGCCCTTCTCCAAAGCCCCTGATGTGATCTGCCTCACATGAGCACCGGTACTGTGCCCTTCTCCAAAGCCCCTGATGTGATCTGCCTCACATGAGCACCGGTACTGTGCCCTTCTCCAAAGCTCCTGATGTGATCTGCCTCACGTGAGCACCAGTACTGTGCCCTTCTCCAAAGCCCCTGATGCGCCTGCCTCACGTGAGCGCTGATAGTGCCCTTCTCCAAAGCCCCTGATGTGATCTGCCTCACACGAGCACCAGTACTGTGCCCTTCTCCAAAGTCCCTGATGTGATCTGCCTCACGTGAGCACCAGTACTGTGCCCTTCTCCAAAGCTCCTGTTGTGATCTGCCTCACACAAGCACCAGTACTGTCCCCTTCTCCAAAGTCCCTGATGTGATCTGCCTCACACGAGCACCAGTACTGTGCCCTTCTCCAAAGCTCCTGATGTGATCTGCCTCACACGAGCACCAGTACTGTGCCCTTCTCCAAAGCTCCTGATGTGATCTGCCTCACACGAGCACCAGTACTGTGCCCTTCTCCAAAGCTCCTGATGTGATCTGCCTCACACGAGCACCAGTACTGTGCCCTTCTCCAAAGCTCCTGATGTGATCTGCCTCACACGAGCACCGGTACTGTGCCCTTCTCCAAAGCCCCTGATGCACCTGCCTCACACGAGCACCGGTACTGTGCCCTTCTCCAAAGCTCCTGCTGTGATCTGCCTCACACGAGCACCAGTACTGTGCCCTTCTCCAAAGCTCCTGATGTGATCTGCCTCACACGAGCACCGGTACTGTGCCCTTCTCCAAAGCCCCTGATGCACCTGCCTCACACGAGCACCGGTACTGTGCCCTTCTCCAAAGCTCCTGCTGTGATCTGCCTCACACGAGCACCGGTACTGTGCCCTTCTCCAAAGCTCCTGATGTGATCTGCCTCACACGAGCACCGGTACTGTGCCCTTCTCCAAAGCTCCTGATGTGATCTGCCTCACACGAGCACCGGTACTGTGCCCTTCTCCAAAGCTCCTGATGTGATCTGCCTCACACGAGCACCGGTACTGTGCCCTTCTCCAAAGCTCCTGATGTGATCTGCCTCACGTGAGCACTGGTACTGTGCCCTTCTCCAAAGCTCCTGATGCACCTGCCTCACACGAGCACCGATAGTGCCTTCTCCAAAGCTCCTGATGCCACCCTGCAGGCAGGGCCCCTGGGCTATGGATCCATGCTAGGACTGCCCTTCTGAATGTACCACACACACACACACACACACACACACACACACACGGATGTCGGCAGTGGTGCTGGCTGGCAGAGACCCCCTTGCCTGCTCCCGTGATTCAGATCAGATCACTGGCCAGAAGGAAGGGGTGAGCCTCAACAGAAGAAATGGCCAGGGGTACTGTCCATGAAGAGGAGCTGGAGATCAGTCTAGAGATGGTTTGAAGTCTCTCCCAGAGGGGAGGCCTCGTAGGACCAGAGGACCAGATGCCTGGCAATAGGTGAACTTGGTGGTGTGGCCCTCAAGGGCTGCGTACCGCACCCAGCACTTCCCGCACCTGGTGAGACACGTCCAATGTGTCTGCCCCCTCCCAGGGAACACTGCCTGTGTCCAGAGGATGTGCCCTCCCTGGGTAAGAATGGGGTCGGGGCTCACTCACAGCCAGCTGGGCCTCAGGGCAAGTACAGAGGAGCTTCTCCTGGGATGAAGGGCTGGCCTCCGAGAGCCCCGTGAAACAGGGTGATGGCCAGGAGTCTGGAAGGGCCTGCAGGGCGGGGTCTTGGGGTAATTAGAAGCATTCCATAAGGACCTCAGAAATGTATGGGGTGGGCCTTCCCTGGGGACCTCTCAGAACCACCCCACCCCTTGGCCGTTCACTGCTCTGTGGGTTTCCAGTGCGGGGAGCCTGGACATCCTGCCCAGTGAGTCCAGAGGCCGCAGGTTCTGCAGGAGCCCTGGGGGGATGGACTGTGCCCTGCCGCCCAGCTGAGGCCCCAAGACCCCAGCTGGCCCGGGAGGCCGGCCAGCTCTCACGAGGCAGAGAGGGCCCGCAGGAAGTGCCGAGGACAGCCCCACCTGAGGCAGCAGAACCATCAAGGAGAGCTGTAACAGACCTCTTCGTGACTGGCGAACCTCTCACTTCTCTGCAGTTTTCTTATGACTCTGTTTCATGGTGAGGTTGGATTTCTCTTCACTTCGATGGCAGTCTCTACTCGTCATCACCACAGGCCAACCAGAGTCTTTGGAGTGCTGGACATCAGTTCCTGAGCCTGGTTATGCACACGGCTCAGATTCAGGAGCACTCCTGTGAGGATGCAGTCTGCACGCCTATCTAGAAGCCACTGCTGTGCTCATTGTAGTGCTCATGGGCCATCTGGGGGCTGCTCTGGGAGGGAGGGAGGGGCAGCAACACGAGAGCCCATCTGCCCCTGGCCAGAGCCCCACAGTAGGTGGCCCGGCCCCGCTGGCGGAGAGACACGCGCCTCACTGCCGACGGGCTGCTGCCACTCGCAGCCGGCTGTGGGGCAGGAGGCACACAGTGCAGCGTGAGAGAAGCCCCCTGTACAGAAGAAATGGGCGGCGCGGTGCAGGGTGCCGCCTGCTGGCCGCCTGCTCCGAAGGCCAGCTGAGCCCCGCTGCCCTTGCCGCGCTGCTGCAGCCTTGGGGCCCTCGCTGGCCACGTCTGGGGCTGGGAGGGTTTGCGCAGAAGGGCGGACGTGGGAAGGCGGCCCGAGGCCTAGCAGCAGGCTTCTCTAATGTCTCTCTCCCTCTCCTGTCCCTTCTCCTAGTCCCCACCGAAAGGTGCCACCATTCCCTACCGCCCAAAGCCCGCCTCCACCCCTGTCATTTTTGCAGGTGGTCAGGTAAGAGCCGACCCGCTCGCGGCCTCCACTGCCAACCTCAGCCTCTTACTGCAGCATCCGCCGCTGCCCGTTAGTGCACTCAGGTTTTCTCGCCTTCCCACTGCACGCCTCCCTCCCTGAGCCAGACACAGGGCTCTCCTGGCCCACACCAGGCTGGGGCGGGGGCAGGGGCACAGCTTCACCTCAGAGCCATGCCCCTCAGACACCTCTCCAAAGAGAGACCCCTGACCCAGACAGGAAGGACCCGAACATCCACAGCCCTGGGAGGCTCCTGCCAGGCCTCCGAGGGTCGTCCCAGAGCCCTGAGGCAGCTGGGCAGGGAGCAGTCCCAGTGGCATGATGGCCCCCGTGGGTTGTCAGGGAAGAGGAAGGGGGCCCGGCTTGCTCACCCGCCTCCGTCACCACCCAGCCCACCGTCAGCCCACCCATGCAATGGCTCGAACATGGTTAGCCAGGGGACGGCCCAGAAGGGCCCTGTGTCTGGCCGGCCGCGGTGTGTCTTTGTTCAAGGGAGTGTTAAGTCAGAGGCTACCAACAGGTGACCCAGCCACAGCAGGGCAGGCATGAGGTTTTAACCCTAAAAGGGAACGAAAGGCATGGGGACTTGACTCACAACGTAAAGAATCTTGTCAGGTCTGTGGGGCACCTGGCAGCCTGTGCACAGCCCCCACACAGACCAGCACACGGCATATTCTATTCACAGTCAGAAAACGAGGCCCAGCGCATGAGCGTCTTGCCAGGCTCGTGTGCTGGGGTACAGCTGCCCCTGCCTGCACCCTGCAGGGAGCCACCGCGACTGTCTGCAAGCCCTCACTGCTGCCCAGCCGTGGCTCTGGCAGGCAGCGACCCTCACGGGGAAGGAACCCTGGTCCGGAACAGTGCAGCTCCAGTTCAGGGCAGAGCCAGTGTGGGTGCCCAGGCTGAGGCCGCTCAGCCCGTTGCCTGCACACAGTCACTGTGCCATGGTGTTTGTCCCTAAACACTGCCCACACTATGAGCCTCCGGGGCTTACTGCCATGCCCCAGGGCAGCCTGATCTGCTGTCCTTGGCCAGGCCTTGGATACAGGTCCCTTCCCCACCCAGCCAACCAGGAGAGGCACCAAGCAAATCTGTGGGGTGGGGGTGTGGATCAGTCCTGAGCGGGCAGGTCTCCAGGTCCCCTGAGGACCCCCGCATGGACAGACCCCTGAGGACCCCTGTGTGTCCAGTGCAGGGTGTGGACAGACCCTTGAGGACCCCTGTGTGTCCAGTGCAGGGTGTGGACAGACCCCTGAGGATCCCCGTGTGTCCAGTGCAGGGTGTGGACAGACTCCTGAGGACTCCTGTGTGTCCACTGCAGGGTGTGGGCAAATCAGGTGTGGGTGCTGCAGGTGCTCAGCTCCCTCCTGGAGCTGGTGGCCCCAGGGCAGGCCCCAGGGCCATGGAGATGTACAGTCTGAGGCAGAAATGAAGTGTCCAAACAGTGGCCCCAGAGCAGCATCCCCGACCCGAGCTCATGAAATTCCACATAGACCACAGGGCAGGAGGGCAGCAGACTGCTAGCGTTGCTGCTGCAGGCCTGACGGGGAGCAGCATCACAGCATGTGGCCTCCAGACCTGCTCCTGGCAGGTCTGCCCGACTGCCCGACTGGTGATCTGATGAGATTCTTTCAGCTCCTCGGTCGTATCACGGGGCCCTCCCTTGCCACAACTGCATCGGTTCAGGGCTGGGCTGCGGCTGGGTCCCCTGTTGGGCAGTCGGTAGGCCTTGACCTCTCGGTTGGGTTATTGCTGATGGACACCTGAGGCATCCGTCACAGAGCCCACGGGCATTACATGTCACGCCTGCGCTCCGCCCATCCTGAGAGGCCTTGCTCTCCCTTGACTCCATGTGGTTGGTTGGTTGTCTGAGTCACTGGAGGTGTGTTATAGAAGAGACCTGTGGGGGTCACCGCCACCTATGGGGGCTTCACAGAGTAGCCAGGGTCGCCAGGGTCACTGCCACCCACAGGGCTTGGCAGAGAAGCCGGGGTCATGGGTCACTACCCACGAGGCTTCACAGAGTAGCCAGGGTCGCCAGGGTCACCGCCACCCACGGGGCTTGGCAGAGAAGCCGGGGTCATGGGTCACTACCCACGAGGCTTCACAGAGTAGCCAGGGTCGCCAGGGTCACCGCCACCCACGGGGCTTGGCAGAGAAGCCGGGGTCATGGGTCACTACCCACGAGGCTTCACAGAGTAGCCAGGGTCGCCAGGGTCACCACCCATGGGCCTTCACAGAGTAGCCAGGGTCGCCAGGGTCACCACCCATGGGGCTTGGCAGAGAAGCCGGGGTCACCAGGGTCACAGGTCACCACCCACGGGGCTTCGCCGAGAAGCCGGGCTCAGGAGTGTGCTGGCCACTGAGTCAGTTGCAGATCTGACACAGGGAAATCAAGAGACCTCAGAGACCCCACTGGGACTGAAGATTTGATCAGGAAGATGACAGATTGGGTCTTCCTGTGATTCATTAGATCCATTTCTTAACCCGTTTTTGGCAAAGCTGCTTTCGGTATCTTTTCGGCTGTCTCCAGTATAGTATTTAAATGACCAGGAGACCTCTTATGGATGGTTGAACAGATCCTCCTTAAGTTGTTTCCTTCTAGAGAAGTTTTGGGGTGTCTGGAGATTGGCCACGGGGCTTTCTGTGGCTCCCCTGGCTGCCACCAGGGGGAGGGTTTGCCACAGAGAGGGTGGAGATGTGCCTGTAGGGAGAGCTGTCACCCAGGGAAGGACCTCGGGCGGCGGCAAGCCCCACGCCCCCTGTGTTGTGAGCTGAAGGTCTCTCTCTCTCTTTCTCTCCAGGCCTACACGATCCAGGGACAGTACGCCATCCCTCACCCGGATGTGAGTTTTCACTCTGTCTCCCGTCCTCTTACTATTGTGTATCTACTTGCATGCTGCTGTTAATTGCTACCAATATTAATATTACACAATAATATTAATCGGTTTTCTCAGTGTCCCTCACCTGTGTTGTACCCATATAACCTTGAATAACCTTTCAGCCTCTTAGCACTAACTCTGCTTGTGTTGAGGACTTGGCCTGATGTCAAAATTGTTTTTGTTGCTGCAGTCCAGGGCTTCCCTCCTGTACCTGCTGAGGGCTCTGCAGTCCCTCCCGCTAGTCAGTGCCACAGTGAGTGGGCAGTGGCACTGACCGGCTGCAGCCAGGGTGCAGTGCTCTGTGCACCCAAGGAATCAGGCAGCATTATCAAAACAGACCTTCCGAGCTGCCCTGGAAAGGTGACGTGTGTGGAGAAGCCAAACCCCACACTGACATGCCCAGTCCTCCAGTGTACAAAGCCTGCAGGTCCCACTCTTCCTTCCAGAGTTAGTAAGATGCCACATGGGGTGCATGAGACCTGGGACTGGTGCCTCGGCCTCTGAGCCGGACCTGTGGTGCTACTGTGGGTGCCGAGTCCTCTCAGACATTCCTGGCAGCATGACAGTAAGGATATGTGTACCATAGAAGAGGGAGGCTCCCCCCGGGCCTGCGGGAGGCAACAGAGGCGCTCGGGGAGGGACCCTGAGCCTGAGGGGCCCAAAGATAGAAAGGGCATTTGTGCATATGTGTGTGTGCATACGTGTGCACATGCGCATGCCAGTCCTGGGGCTTGAACTCGGGGCCCTGAGCTCTTGCACTCAAGGCTGGCACTCTCCCATTTGAGCACACCTTCACTTTTGGCTTTTCAGTGGCTAATTGGAGATAAGAGTCTCACAGACTGCCTGAGCTGGCTATGAACCATGATCCTCCTATCTCCACCTTTTGAAGAGCTAGGGTTACAGGCGTGAGCCAGCTGCACCCAGCTAAAGGGCACTCTGGAGGGGACTTTAAGAGGATGGTCAGCAAGACCCTGTTGTTAGGTGTTACAAAAACTAAGGAGAGGGATAGGAGAGAGACGGCCGGCCTGTGGGAGCTGCAGCACCTTGCAGATAACTGAATTATCTTTTCTCGACCCATTTTGAACGCTGCCAGGCTTGTCAGCCCCTGGAGCGTGTCTGTGCATTCTGTGTGAGCCCTGCTGCTGGCCCTGACCGAGAGCAGAGCCGGCCAGGCCCTTCAGCCTCCTGCAGACGCTTCTTTGGACTCAGACACCTGTTTGGTTCAGACTTCCAGGCAGAGCAGGCAGGGGTTTCAGAATTCATTCACACTAAGTGTTTCAAGTATGGATTCAATTCCTTCTCATTGCAAGGCAGTTCCTTGAGCAGGAAATAAATTCTGTTGCTTTCTAACTTGAATAAAGCAACACACAATCAACCGGTAGAGAAGCGCTGACGGGAAAGGCCTCTTTAGATCCCAGGACACCATGACTCTGAACCCCCAGCGCCATGCTCCCAGGTCATCGGTGCAGACTTTGTCTGTGAGCACCGGAGGCCTGGAGCTCTACATGATGTGTCTGCTGTCCAGCGCCTACTGCTAAGGCCTTACGTGGCCTGGCAGCACTGAGCAGTCAGAGCAAGTGTTCTGCTCCCGGCACAGGGCAGGCCACTGGGGCAGGCCAATAGATAGACACTCGGAGGGCAGGGTCTGACCTTCAGGTGGCCCTGGCTTCCTGTGGTGCTGGGGTGGGCAGCCGCGCACATGCAGTGTATATAGAAGCAGCCTCAAAAGCTTAGCTTGTGTGAACTGGGTGAGTCTGTGGAACTCCAAGGTGCAGCATCATTGATGGATGTGGGTCATGCTTATGTCTTCATGCCAAATAATAAAGTCAGATGTTGGGGCCTGCAGGGTCTGATTGGCAAGTGCTTGCCAGTCTCTATGGCAGCGGGGTCTGAACCCTCCCCGCCCCTCCTGGGTGTGCCACGGATGTCTAGGGAAGCCTGTGTCCAGTCTGAGATGCGGCAGCTGTCCTGGGGGGCACAGATGTGACAGAGATGGTGGCTGGTGTGTTTTTCCTCTGTGGCTCCTCTCAGTATCTCTTACTCGGAAGTTTAGAGTGTTTCAGGTTAGCTTAGTGCCCACGGATGTTGTGGTTGTCTCTTGTGTATGGTGAGGTGCTGCGCTTTGGATGCATGTCCCGCTCCCTTCTTGTGCTGAAACCTGCTTGCCAGGTGGTGCTGTTAGGAGGCAGGCCTCTGTTAGATAACCCGGTGTGGAAGGCTCCTCCTCCCATCTTCTACCAAGTAAGAACAAAGCATTCATCCTGGAAACAGGGACAAGCAGTCACCAAACAGAACCTTCTGGCATCTTGATCTTGGACCTCTGGCCTCCGTAACTGTGAGCAGTAAATTCATGCTGTCTATAAACTACCCGGGCTAAGGCATTTTGTTAGAGCAGCAGATGAAGACCTTGGTTATTTTATCATGGAAAGCTTCCTGTGGATGTCATCCTGCTGTCCATACCAAACACGTGATTTGTGAGCAGAGTGGGGACTTAAAGCTGTCTTTCTTATAGGAACATAAAATTCAAGGCTTAGGCAATCACGCAAAAAGTTCACATTGAAGCACGAGTTTCATGACACGGAGGATAATGGTTGGGATGTGATTTTTATTTGTACTCAGTACTCTGTAGGAATATTTGTTTGTTTGTTTTGTTTAGTGTCAGCACCAGGGTTTGAACTCAGGGCTTCTTCACTCACAGCCATCAGAGCTGCATCTTTACTTCCTCTTAGTAGGAATGTTTAAAACTTCAGTTTTTTAGAATGAAAATGTAGTTTTAGGAAATGTTAACTGTTTTATTTTACAGTGTAACTGAATACAAGTTTATCTCAATCGAAATGGCTGGCTTGTGTGTGTATACATATATGTACAGATATGGGTACATGTGTGTATGTGTGTGCATATATACTGTAGCAACTTAATTCCTTATCTGAATACGTGGTCTCATAAGTCAGACACATAGACCATAGAGAGATTCATTCCTAAAATCTGAATATTCCTTACCTATAATGGAAGCATGCACATTTCAATACCTCATTTTAAGCCATGTTTTTAATCTGGCCCTTACTTAAATCATCCATGCTGAGGACTTTCAGTTTCCTCTGTTTATCCGCATGCTCCTTTACCCAGATCCTCTGGCACCTCTCCAGCTCTCCAGGCCTGGGTGTTATGAAGAGGTATAAAATGCTGCACTATGCATGGCCACATCCTCTGTGGTCCCATCCTGTTCTCTGGGACAGTAGCTCAGCAGCTGTGGAAAATATCCAGGAATTTTGGTATCCATTCCTCTGCTGAGTGTCTGAAATGGACACTCAGCAAGTGTAGAGAGTGACCACGCACCTTTGATCCAGTTCTCTGGATGACCGCTTAGCAACCATGGACAGTGACCATACATCTTTGTGTCCAGTTCTCTGGATGACCGCTCAGTGCGCATGGACAGTGACCACACATCTTTGTGTGCAGTTCTCTGGATGACCGCTCAGCGCGCATGGACAGTGACCACACATCTTTGTGTGCAGTTCTCTGGATGACCACTCAGAGGGCATGGACGGTGACCACGCACCTTTGTGTGCAGTTCTCTGGATGACCACTCAGCAGGTGTAGAGTGACCACACACCTTTGTGTGCAGTTCTCTGGATGACCACTCAGCGGGTGTAGAGTGACCACGCACCTTTGTGTGCAGTTCTCTGGATGACCACTCAGCAGGTGTAGAGTGACCACACACCTTTGTCCAGTTCTCTGGATGACCACTCAGCAGGTGTAGAGTGACCATGCACCTTTGTGTGCAGTTCTCTGGATGACCACTCAGCGGGTGTAGAGTGACCACGCACCTTTGTGTGCAGTTCTCTGGATGACCACTCAGCAGGTGTAGAGTGACCACACACCTTTGTCCAGTTCTGTGGATGACCACTCAGCAGGTGTAGAGTGACCACACACCTTTGTCCAGTTCTCTGGATGACCACTCAGCAGGTGTAGAGTGACCACACACCTTTGTCCAGTTCTCTGGATGACCACTCAGCAAGTGTAGAGTGACCACGCACCTTTGTCCAGTTCTCTGGATGACCACTCAGCAGGTGTAGAGTGACCACACACCTTTGTGTCCAGTTCTCTGGATGACCACTCTGCGGGTGTAGCGTGACCACGCACCTTTGTCCAGTTCTCTGGATGACCACTCTGCAGGCATGGATAGTGACCACACACCTTTGTGTCCAGTTCTCTGGATGACCACTCAGCGGGCGTGGAGAGTGACCACGCACCTTTGTGTCCAGTTCTCTGGATGACCACTCAGCGGGCGTGGAGAGTGACCACGCACCTTTGTGTCCAGTTCTCTGGATGACTGCTCAGCGCGCATGGACAGTGACCATGCACCTTTGTGTCCAGTTCTCTGGATGACTGCTCTGCGGGCATGGATAGTGACCACACATCTTTGTGTGCAGTTCTCTGGATGACCACTCTGCGGGCATGGATAGTGACCACACATCTTTGTGTGCAGTTCTCTGGATGACCACTCTGCGGGCATGGATAGTGACCACGCACCTTTGTGTGCAGTTCACTGGATGACCACTCAGCAGGTGTAGAGTGACCATGCACCTTTGTGTCCAGTTCTCTGGATGACCACTCTGTGGGCATGGACGGTGACCACGCACCTTTGTGTCCAGTTCACTGGATGACCGCTCAACACCCTGGAAAGCATCTGTATACCTCCACATCCCACCAGCATCACTGAGGCACAGGTTTGGAGATACAGAAAGGAAACTGCACCAAGTCCCAGGGCACTGGAATGACACAGAGCCCCGAGGCTCCAAGTCCCTGAGGGTTCAGCAGCCTTGGTGGGGCAGCTGCTAGGCCTCTCACCTGCATTTCTCTCTGTTTCTTCACGTCAGTGTCATCACATCAGGAGTTGCTTTTCTCTGGAGAATAGCCACACACAGTGGTAACTTGTGTGGGGCCATGACCTGATAAACTCA